CCTCAACCCCCCGTCCGCGCCCCCCGCCCCAGCTTCGGCGCCGAGGGCGGCGCGGCGGCGCTCTTCGGCGACGCCTCCGGCGCGCTGCTGCTGTGGAGGCTGGGGGTTGATGTGAATAAGCTGGAGCCCCTGCCCCTCAAGCTCCCAGGGAAGGTCTTCTGCCTGGCGGCGGACCCCACGTGGAGCAGACAGCGCGCCACCGTCGCCAGCTGCGTGGTCCCGGCCAACGCCAGCGCCGCGCCGCCGCAGCCGCAGCCACAGCCGCAGCCGCAGCCCGCGCGGCGCGTCGTCGCCGGCTGTGCGGACGGGAGCGTCAGCTGCGTGGATGTTGAGGGTGGCGCGCTGCTGTGGCGCGTCGCCGCGCACGCGGGGCCTGTGCACTGCTTGCATTGGGCGGCTACAGGCGAGGAGCCGGCGCAACAGGCGCCGGCAGAGGCGCCGGGGCCAAGAACTGAGCCGCACTTGCAGGAGCAGCAGCAGCAGCAGCAGGAGCAGCAGCAGGAGCAGCAGCAGGAGCAGCAGCAGGGGCAGCAGCAGGGGCAGCAGGAGATTAGCTCGCCGCCAGAAGGTAGCTGGCGCGCCAGCAGGGTCGCCCCAGGGGCCATCCCGCCGCCGACAGCAGCAGCAGCAGCAGCAGCAGCAGCAGCAGCAGCAGCAGCAGAGGTGTTGCTGTCTGGAGGGGAGGACGGCCGCCTGCAGCTGTGGAGGCTGCAGCCGCCGCCACCGCAACCTGCAGGCAGCGAAAACCTGGGTCGCACCGGTGTTGGCGGGGGCAGCGGCGGCGGCGGAAGCGCGGCAGCGGCCCCTTCGCCTCTCGTGTTCACATGGCTTCCAAAACCGCCCGGCGGCGGCGGCGGCGGCCGCGGCGCGAGGGCGGCGCGGCTGTGGGCGGCCGCGCGCGTGCTGCCCGAGACGCTGCAGCCGGGCGGCGCGTGCTGTGTGGTGGCGGGCGGCTTCAATGGCAGCCTGCTGCTCTACAGCCTCAAACCAGGTGCGGCAACAAGGCCATGTATGGGCCCCACCAAGCAGAGATTCTTCCAAGCAATACGCCGCACTTGATGCAGCGCCGGGCCGCGCGTTGGCAACGCTGATGCCATCTTTGTGGCCGTGTTCGCAGCGCTGCCTCTCCCGCCGCTTCACCGCCGCTCCCCCTGCCGCCGTCTCCCCCCATACCCACCAGGCCGGCGCCCCGAGCCACCGGCGGCAGTCAAGGGCGCCCACAGCAACCGCCTCATCTTCGGGCTCGAGCTCCTGCCGCGCTGCCCTCGGGCGGGCCGCGGCGCGGGCGGCGCGGCGGCTGCCTCAGCCACGGGGCCCGCCGGCAGAGGCCCCGGCGCGCACGACGCGGGCGCTGTCGAGGCCCGGGGGTCGATGAGGGCGGTGGTGTCGATATCGCAGGACCGATACCTTTCTGTGACGGAGCTTCCCGCCTTGACTGGCCGCGGCTGCGCAGGCGGCGGCGCGGCGAGCGGCGGACAGGCGGCGCCGCCAGCCGAGGGGCGGCAGGGCGCGGGCAGCGACGCCAGCAGCTGGCGCGCACGGGCGCCGGCGGTGGAGGGGCCAGCGCAGCAGCAGCTGCTGCAGCAGCAGCAGCAGCAGCAGCAGCAGCAGCAGCAGCAGTGGCGAGGGCCGCAGCAGCCGGGACCCCCGAGCACTACGGACGGCAGCAGCGGCGGCGGCGTGCTCTGGCGGATTGCAGGGCTTGGGGGCTATGCATACTGCTGCGCCACAACCTCGGCTGGCAAGGTTGGTAAGGGCCTGCTGGCGGTGGCCTGCGGCGATAAGACAGTGCGGATCGCCACGCTGGCGCCAGGCTGCTGTGCTGCCGCCAGCGGCGGCGGCGGCGGCGGTAGCGGCAGCGTTGCGGGCGGCGCGGCAGCAGGGGGCGCTTTGACCGCGGCAGCGGGCAGCGCGGACGGGCCGGCGCCGCGCGCGCCGCCTGTTGTGGATGCGTCCAAGGGGGCGGCCATCGTTTGGCAGGGGCTGCAGGAAAAAGTCCTGTGCCTGGCCTGGCATCCCAGCAACCCAGGTGACAGGGGCGCAGCCTGCACGCTCTGACGCAAACCAGCAGTCAAACCGGTCAAACCCTCAGGCCGCACCCATCGCATCCCCTGACGCCGTCAGCTCTGGCGCCACGACCGCCTGAGGGCCGCGGGGTCAACGCCTTTGCAATTTAAACCAGCGAAGCGCCTTGCACATCCTGTGGCCGGTCTGCACCCCCCATTGAAACAAAAGAGCGACAACTGTTTGCGGCTGCATACCCGTTTGCGCAGGCCTGCTGGCCTACGGCTGCGGAGACGGCCGCGTCGGCCTCATCTCCGCCAAGGCGCAGCAGGCGCAGCCCTTCGCGCTGCGGCACTCGGGGCCCGCGCTGCACCTCAGCTGGCAGCTGCTGCGGCCGCACCACCAGCCCCTCTCCCCGCTGCCACCGCCGCCGCCGCAGCAGCAGCAGCAGCAGCAGCAGCAGCAGCAGCAGCAGCAGGAACGCGTCGCAGACTGCGGCGCCGCAGGTGGTGACTCAGCAGCGCCCTCGTCCCAGCACCAGCCCCCCTCCCCGGCGTCTACGGCCGGCTCGTCATCCGCCCCATCCGCCGCAGCCACCCATTCTCCGGCGCCAGCGGCGGCACTGTACTCGTTGGGGGGCGAGGGCTGCGTCTTGAAGTGGCCCGCGACGCCCGCCGCGGCCGCCGCGGGCAGGGGCAAGGCCAGCGACGCGGCGGCGCGTGGCGCCGCGACGGGCGCAGACGCGGCGCCCGTCGACGTGAGTGCAGCCCTGGAGGAGGCGTGGGCGGCCTTCCGCCAGCAAGACGCGCAGCGGCCGTCCGGCGGCGGCGGCAGCGGCCTCGAGCACACCACGGCCGACGCCGGCGCGGGCGCACCCCGAGAGGACCCGGCCGCCGCAGCAACGGCGGCAGCGACGGCGGCGGCGGCGGCCGCTGCGACGAGCGCACCGGCTGTCAAATGGAGCGCGCTGGCTTGGCACCCCGACGGGCGCGTGCTGGCCGCCGCCAGCGAGGCGGGTGCCGTTGTCGTCTTTTTGGAGGTGCCCGCAGCTGCCGCGGTGGGCCTGGGGCCGCCGCCTGGCGCCCCTTCCGTCCCGGCGTCTGCGGCTGCAGCGGCAGGTGTGCCGGGTTGGAGCGTCATACATTGCTTCCACACCAGCGGCTTTCCGATATCCCACCTGCGCTGGGGCCAGGGGGTGGGCGGGCGCGCCCTGCTGGCAGCGGCTGATCAGCGGACGGTGCACGTCTGCGGCTGGCCAGGCGGCGTTGGCGGCGAGACGGTGGTGCTCGCGGAGCAGCTGCGGCCGCAGGACTGGTTTGACGGGGGGCAGGTGGTTGACCAGAAGCAGCAGGAGCAGCAGCAGGCGCAGCAGCAGGCGCAGCAGCAGGAGCAGCAGCAGGCGCAGCAGCAGGAGCAGCAGCAGGAGCAGCAGCAGGCGCAGCAGCAGGAGCAGCAGCAGGAGCAGCAGCAAGCGCCGCAGGGCGGGGGGAGCGGCGGCGAGGGCGGCGGGGGCGGCGCCGCCCCTTGGCCGCGTGTGCAGGCGCTGCCGGCGCTGCCGGCGTCCGCCAAGGGCCTGAGGGATGTGGCGTTCGCTGCGGACGGTCTGGTGTGTGTCGCGCGCGGCGACGGCGCCATCCAGGTGAGAGGAGGCGGGCTGCTGTTAGCCCTGGCAGCCCTTGTGGCCAATGCACTGCCTCCATCTCTGGGATGTCTGCCATTTTGCAGCGCCTTGTCATGCACTGCGGTCGCTCGTCCGCCCATCAGCGGCGCGCAGCAAAGGCAGCTGGCACTACCCCAGCCGTCGGCCCACGCGATCCCCTGACGCCGCCAGCCCGCCCGCCCGCCCGCCTACCGCCCGCAGCTTTGGGCGCTCGACGCTGAGCTGGACGCGGCGCCCAGGGCGGTCGCGCTCGTGCGGGGGCACTCGGAGGCGGTTCAGTGCGTGTGTGATGTGGCCGGCCAACCGGGTGTGCTGGTGTCGGGGTCGGCGGACCAGTCAGTCCGAGGGTGGTCCACCGCGGCGGCGATTGCAGCGGCAGAGGCAACTGCAGCGGCAGAGGCAACGGCGGCGGCGGCAGCGGCAGCGGCAGAGGCGGAGTCAGCGGCGGCAACGGCGGCAGAGATGGACGTGATACAAGCGCCAGAGGCAGCGCCGGCTGAGGCAGTGGCGGGGCCGCCGACAGCAGGAGCGGCGGATGGGCCGGCGATGGCAGGGAAAAGCGCTGTGACGGCCGCAGCGGCAGCGACGACGCTCAGGGCGACAGCGGCTGAGGCCGGGGCGTCAGCGGCGTCCGTTGGAGGGGCCGGCGCTGCGGCGGTGTCAACGGGCCAGCCTACGCTGCCGTCCACCGCAGCTGCCTTGGATGCCGACGGCGCCGCGACGTCGCAGGCAGAGCCAGCTGCAGAGGAGCCGCCGCCGCGACCCCCTGCCAGGCCCAATGCTGACGCGGCCGCCCAGGAATCATGGTCGCGTGACGACCTCACTCCGCCCAAGGCAGCCGTACTGCCAGCAAGTGCGAAGCCGCTGCAGTCGGGCACTTTGGAAGCCGCGCGGGTGGAGGGCGCCTTCGACACATCAGCCGGCCCCGAGCCCTCACATGGCGTGTCCACGGCCGCCGCCGCCGCACCGACATTTGCACCAACCCACGACGGCGGCGGCGGCAGCGGCAGCGCTGCCGGCAAGGCGCGGGCCGGCCGCGCCCGGGTTGTGAAGGGCGCTAGTCTGCCGCCCGGGGCCGGCAGGGTGGTAGCTGCACCACCGGACTACCACGACGCGGCAGTCCAGGACCAGGCGCTGGCGGACTGCCTGGCTTTTGCCCGCCTGATGTACCCGCTGCTTCCTGGCGACGGGCTGCAGCAGCAGCAGCAGCAGCAGCAGCAGCAGCAGCAGCAGCAGCAGCAGCCAAGCGCCCTCCTCGGCGCCATGCTGGCGGACCCTGAAACACTGCTCTCGGTCCGAGCCGCCGCCGCGGCGCCCGCCGCCCACCGGCCCTTGCTGGCGGCGCTGCGCGGCGACGCCGGGGCCTTCCTGCGCGCCGCGGCGGACGCCGGCACCGTCGACAGCTGGGCCGTGGCGCTGGCCGCTGCCGGCGGTGGGCGGCAGCTGCTGCCGGCCGCGGCGCGGCTCAGCTCTGCGCGAGAGGAAGCCGCGGGCCGCGGCGACGGCCCGGCGGCCGCGGCGCTGAAGCTACTCCTAGCCACGGTGGACGGGGCGGACAGCCCCGCAGGTGCGGGGGGACTGTAGCTCGCTGGCGGTGTGGCAAACAAAGCATGGGGCATTCACCTAGCACTTGCTCCCCCCCCCCACGTATCATGTCAGCATGATGCTGCTAGATCGTGGTGGTGTAAGCCGCTATCATGAGATCTTCATGCTTGACGTACGCTATGGCGCACCGGACATCATTCGACCTCGGGCTCTGGCATCAGCTTAGGTTCAAAGACGGTGATCTGCCTAGCATTGCGCTCGTGCCAGTGCATGGCCTCGATGCAGCTGCGGCGAAGGCGGGTGGCAGCTAACGCCCGGGGCCCTGCGTGGTGGCTGCACGGCATGGTGACTCGCGGGGTGCGTTGATGTGTGCAAGGGAGACCCAGCGCCTCTGCACCCGGCCTCACCGCGCCCAGTCAACTCCATTGTGTGGGTTCGAGCTTGCAGCCGGGGAAATGTGAGGCAGGGCGGCATCTGCATGGCAGCAAGTGGCCATCAGGCACGTCAGTCCCCTGATCAATGGGAATCAAGGATGGCCCTCAGCCTGTCACCATGTTGGCTGCCTTCACTGGGTCTTTTGAAACACCGCAGCGCGACAAGCACGGGGAAGGGGGGCGTGTTCACCCGCAAAAGTTTGGTGTGCACAGTACGCAGCCGCAGCGCTCCAAACTAGCACAGTGTCGCGGTGTGCCTTGTCACCGCCACCCCCCGCACCCAGGCAGCCGGCATTCGAAGTGCCCGGGCATCTGCGATGCGTCAGTGGAGTCGTAAGCGTGCATACCACATACCCCAGGCGCGGTTCCCCTGACTGAAGGGTTGTGTCTGTTGTGCATCAGCAAGTTCGTGTTGTGAATGCTTTGCTGGCTGGAGTTTGATCGTTTGTGCAACCTGATCATCGCCTTCACCAATCCTCATGTGTGTCATGCGTCGACGCTGCCTTCAGTGCTGGATCCCATGAGATGCTTGCCGCGCAAAGCCCCCTGATGCCCCCTGTGGTCCTAGCTGCCGCAGCCCTCTCTGGAATTGCATGTGCCCACTGCTCACCGCCTCCTCATGCTGAAATGCTGAACGTACCTGAGCCAGTAGCAGCGAATGACATGATTGAGTGGGCCCCATATCGCTGTGGGACCCACCTGGCGGCATGATGCCATGCATGTGGACCCACGTGCAATGTCACCCAGGTGATGCTGCCTCGTGCCCTTTGGAACTGCGCCCACAGCTAGGTATCAGCATCCCAACAGCGTAGAGCTTGAGAACTCACGGTTAACTGAGTTCAGAACGCGGTGACAAGTGTCCAGGGCTCGCAAGATCAGATTGTTGCCATTGACCCGCGGGCCACCGTGTTGAGAGGCACCTCACAGCAACGCCTACAAGCAACAACCCGCAGAATCAGCTCTCCGATAAGCCTACCGACCCACGCTGTGGTCGGCGCCGATCACACCGCCACAGACGCCTGTGCCCCAAGTCAGGAGCGTGCCAACCTCGCATGGTGCTGGTTGCATTTACCGCCGGCGAGGAAGGTGAGTGGAGCGTCACCAGTGTGGCGCCGGTGACGGGCGATCCTCTGCCCGCGGCGCCGCAGCTGGCCGTGCGTGAGGGCCCCGCAGCCGCGGCCGCCCTGGGCGGCACCCACCAAAGCGCCGCCGCGTGGGCGCTGGCGGGCGTGACCTCGAATCTGCGCTACACCACAAGGGACGAGCTGAAGCAGCTGGTGCCCGTCTCAGAGGGCCTGGGGCGGCCCGCGGCGACGCGCGCGGCGCTGATCCCTATCAAGAAGTCCGCAGCCTGGTGCGGGGCTTGTGGCGCCAAAAGCTGCTGAACGTGCAGGCTCCAGGGCCGCAGGGGTGCATGCACGAACGACAAGCAGTGTGCGCCATCGCTTATGGCGGTGTTGGCGGTTCAGTGTTGCACGACCTGCTTGTGCATCCGCGCCCATCATCTCCGCTCCGGCGTCATTCTTGTCCCCCCTCGATTGATTCCGCACGTGGCTTTGCGCGATCCACCCCGATCCCTCTGCTGCCACCAATCCAACGAACCTGGGCCACCTTCTTGTGCCCATACCACTGATCCTTATCTTCCCACGCCCCCAGGTGGGCGCTTTCTCAGGACGAGCGGCTGTCCATCATATCCACCAGCCAGCACGTGGCCATAGGCCTCAAGGTTCTGCCCGCCGTGTCGCGCCGCCTGCACCACTGCCGCGACCTCGGGCTGGGCCCCGGGGACGAGGCGCCGCCTTTTGACTTCCTGACGTGGTGAGCGCGACAGAGCAGGGGCCAATGCTTCATGCCGACGTGGTGGGGTGGGTGGGTCCACGTGTGTGCATGTGATGCACACACAGTTGCCGCGACGTGCGATCGAGGACTCAGCCAGCCGCCCAGCAGGCCATTTCGCGC